TGCTTACCTGCATGGCTCCACTGATTAGGTGGGCAGCCCTTCATTCTCTCATGTGACCACCTAGGCAAGCATTTTTAGTGCAAGGGTTATCAAACTTTGGGTTGTGGCTTGTAAGGGTAAGCTGCTGGTGTGCTGTGAGATTCTTGATTTACCTGAGTGTCTGCGGGTACGGCCGCTCGCAGCTCCCAGTGGCTGCAATTTGCTACTACCATTAGTCGGGAAAAGTGAATCATGTGTACAGACACTTGGGTAAGCAAAGAAGCTTGTGGCTTACCCTTACAAGCCGCAACCCAAAGTTTTAGAAAACCCCTTACTTAGAACTATCCTCATGCCACTGAGGCCCATAGTTTTTGAGACCCTCTGGTTTAGACACCTCTAATTTTCCTGTTTTGCATCCATCTTTGTCTCTGGTAGTCTGCTGCACAGCTCCTTAAGCAGGGCTACCTGAGACGCTTGCTAAGTCCATAGAGTTTGGCGAGGGGGGCGGGGAATATGATCTTGCACACCTTGAAGAGGAAAAGGAAAAGTTCTTTAAGTCATTGCTCATGCATATTCTTAGTTATGGGTGTGCATATCATGTGCACAGTAGCCAGGAAGGTTTTACCCTACCAGAATACCATTGGTCGGCAGGGGAGACCCCTAGAGTGGCGCCAGTATGGCTAGATATTAAGCACCCTGCAGACCACCCCACCCCTCAATTCCTTCTTACTCCCAGTGAAGGTTGTTAGAGCTAGCATTTCTTGCCTCGGGCAAGCGCGCTTTCCCTAGTTGGCCTTTGTAGGTGATTCTTTCAGGTGTTAAGTAGCTGTTGTTTAACAACTTAGGGGCTGGGGCATGGTGGCTGGGTCATGCCTCAGCTCCCCAGCTTCAGTCAGTAAAGACAGTGCATGAAGTTTATGTCTGCAGGTGATCCAAATGATTCCTGCCTGCAGTGTTTGAAATGGCCCAGTTACAGACAAGTGCTGCAAGATCTGCAGGGCCTTTACTTCAAGAATTTGAAGGGACAGAGCTTCGCTTCTGAAATATGTTGGCAGACATCCCTAGATTGGCATTCAGCACTGCAGGCTGTGGGACTGGAATCGGTGACGTTGGTGCAGAGTGTACCAGCTCCGTGTAAGGAGTCGGACAAGCCATTTCAGCACTGACATTTGCCGAAGTCTAGTTCTTGGCTCCCATCCTGCTGTGGTGCAGAAAAAGAAAAAGGCAGGAGAGGGGGCCAGTCCCCATTTTGAATGCTAGAAAGCTTTAAAGAATCATGTCCTGGGTTGGAGCACCCATTGAAAGAACCTTCCCATACAGTGCCGTTAACTATGGCGTCTCTGCCGATCCCGTTGACTCTGAGAGAGTCAGATGGGAGACGTGGTTATGCCATATACTCCTGAGACAAATGAAGCGGCCCATGACCTGATTTAGTGAACATCTGGTCAGTCAGAGTCACTGAGGGAGTATCCTCTGGTCCCTCTGGCACTGTTGCCAGTACTGGGCTTGGTGCAGTCAAGGGGGAAGCCTCCCATGTTAAGAAGGTCATTTTTGCCTCTGCAACGGTCGTGGAATCGGGACCGACAATCTCTGCACTGCTCCAGTGAGGGCTTCTGTTCAAGGCAGAGGCCTCCTGGGTGGCACCATTGATTCAGCAGAGACTGTTCACTTCAGCACCGGTCCCAGGAGGGATCCTGTACAAGGTGGAGTCTTCCCGATGACCTCACTCCTGCACAGAGGCTGCCAGTGTGGCATAGTACTGATCCTCTGTAGTCATCACGTTCCACATTCACATCGGAGTTGGAACCGGAGGGTCACCTGTCCAAGAGGCGGCACTTCGATGCAAGAACACCTAGAGAGGAGGCAGGAGCTAGCCTTACAATGGCCTCCTGAGTGGCAGACCCCACCTCATTGGCCTTTCTGGACTCCTTGGGCCTACCACCAGGTACAAGCGAGACGTTCTAGGTCCATCTCAGTGGCCTTCTCAGCAAGGGCACTTCCTCAGCGGCCCTAGACTGAGACCTTGACGTAGGGGTTCAGTTGTCCCAGCAAACAATGTCGGGGTTGCAGATATATGCTACGCATCATTTCGGGGTGCCGGAGGAATCCCGTTCGGTACCGAGCCTGCAACTGTGACAGGCAATGGCTTCCCTTTCCGGGGAGGACCAATGACACTGGGTTCTAGGATTGTGTCCGCATCACAGCACTCCGGTGCTGATGACCAAGGGCTTGTGCCTTCGGTAATGGATATGGAATAGGAAGAAGAGATGTGGGACCCCTTGACCTCATTGTCTCCAGATGAGGGGGTAGCAGGTGCAGTGACATTTGCAAATAGAGGAGGTGGTGGAGGATGCAGATCCTATGGTGGACATTTTGTCTCGGGAAGGGTGGGTGTCCAGGGTCACACTCCCTTTTTATCAAGACTATTTTCTCCACCATGAAAACCCTCTGGCAGACCCTGGCTTCTATCCCTCCAACTGCTGAAGGGGTTGAGCGTCGATACTTTTCCCCATCTAAGGGGTACAAATACTTGTATACACATCCACATCCCAGCACCCTGGTAGTGGATGTGGCTAATGCTAAGGAACACCAACGTTGCCAGTGTTCCAGTCTGAAGTCCGAGGACTTGAACAGGCAGGATCTGTTGGGAAGGAAAGTTTACTCATCGGGTAGTCTCCAATTAAAGGTCTGCTACAATTATAATTGGGCGACCAGGGACAAATTTAAAGAACTCCTCCTATTAGACTCTAGGGCTGTGTCCAGACTCAGGGGTTTTTTCGGGAAAAGTAGCCTTTTTCCGAAAAAACTTCCCCTGCGTCCAGACTCAAGCCGCGTTCTTTCGAAATTAAATCGAAAGAATGCGGCTTTTCTTTCGATGGCGGTAAACCTCATTTCACAAGGAAGAATGCCTTCTTTCGAAAGTTCCTCTTTCGAAAGAAGGCGTTCTTCAATGTAAATAGGGCTTCTTCGAAAGAGAGCATCCAGACTCACTGGATGCTTTCTTTCGAAAAAGCAAGCCGCTTTTTCGAAAGTTCAACGTGCAGTCTAGACGCTCTCTTTCGAAAGAGGCTCTTTCGAAAGAGGCTTGCAGTCTAGACATAGCCTAGGTCTGAGTTTGCGGCCCTTGTAGAGGAAGGGAGGGTAACTTCCCAAACCTCCCTTCAGGGAGCTCTTAATGTCCAGTCTGTCAATGGGCATAGTTATGAGACGGAACTCTTGGCTTCAGGTGCCTGGAATCCCTCCAGAGGTCCAGAATATAATACGGGACCATCGTTTGATGTTAGAAGTTGGAGTGGGGGTGTCAATAATGAGGCCTAGGCTTCTAGGCAGTTGCTAGGGCCTAGGAAGAATTTTTGAAGGTGTGCCCGAGGGCAGTGTACCTTTCTCCCTCTCAGATTCTGTTCCTATGTTTGGGGGCTGCGTGTCCCATTTTTACCATGCTTGGGTCCAAGTCATGTTGGACAGGCGGGTTCTGAGCATGGTAAAAATGGGACATTCTATTTAGCTTCTGGCAACCCCACTTTGCCATTTCCGTCCCATCCTTTTTTTAGGGACTCCTCTCACAAGCAACTCCTGTGGCAGAACATGCAAATGCTCATCAGTGTAGGGGCAGTAGAGGGGGGACTATTCAGGGGGACAGGATTTTATTCCTGTTAACCTGCCCTTGGCCTTTGGGATAAGGATTATGTTCCATAGTAGACCTGCATGGTTAAAATTCATATGGTATCTCTTGCCTCAATTATCCCTTCACTCAGTCTGGGAGACTGGTACACTGCCCTCCATCTGAAGGATGTCATGTGGCTATAGTTCCAGCTTTCACAAGATTCCTTCATTTTCTGGTGGGTGGTTCCCACAGTCAGTTGAGGGTGTTACCTTTCGGCCTGTCTGCTGCACCAAGGGTCTTTACAAAGTGCATGACAGTGGTGGCAGTATTCCTGCAGTGCAGAGGGGTTCGGGTTTTCCCTTAAGTGGACAAATTGGCTGATCAAGGAGCCTGTGACCAAAGTTCCTTTTTCTGAGCCCTGCACAGAGGTTCAGAGCTCCCCATGCAGGCAGAGAGCTCAGCTGATTGGCTGGGGAAGCACGGGCAGGGCACTTGCCCTCTCAGAGGAGCAGAAACAGCAGCAGCTACTGGAGAAGCTGGCTGCAGCTTCTACTCCAGGGCTGAGCAAAAGATTATCTTAAGGCTGGATCCAGCTGCAAGTGCCTCAGCTGGCTCCCTGCCTACCTACTGCACCTGGCACTCTCGAAAGCCGAGTGCAAGGCCACATGTGTGTTTGAACTCAGAGCCTGGAGGGAGGGGGAAAGAGGCTTCTCTTACTGCCCCCACCCCCAGTAACTCTCATTGGCTGGTTTCGACCAATAGCAGCTCCCTGATTACAGGACAGGCAGCGTGTGAAGTACATTTTTCCCCTCATTCCCTAGGCTCACCTCATTCAATTGGAGCTGCAGGAGCTATGTTTATTGCTCTAATGAGCATGTACAGAGGTTGGAAGGTAGAGACTCTGACTAAGGAGGCTGCTGTCAGGGAGCCAGGTAAGGTCTCTGGCACCCCAGCCTCTGCCTCCCCCCCCTTAGCCCTTCTAACCCATGTAACCCAAACCTTCTGCACCCTTGCTCCAGTTCCTAGACACTACATCTGCCTCCTACACCCGTGCTTAGGTCACAGCCCTCTCCCAGACCTTGCACCCCAATCCACTATCCCTGGTCACAGCCCAAATCCCTTCACCCCCTCCTATACTCTTACCCCAGGTCACAACCCCTCCTCTCCTCAGTCCATTGTCCCAGATCAGGATCACCTACTTCACCCAAACTCCCATGTCCCACACCCCAATCCCTTACCCCAAGCTCCCTTCTGCACCCAGCCTCCATCCCAGAACCCTGTATCTCCTTCCTTAATATAATGGAAGAGTGCAGCCCTCTGCCACTTGCCAAATTCTTGCAGTGGTCCCTCATTAAAAATTATTGCCCACCCCGGCTTATGGTAAGAAAGAAAAAGATTTTTTTAACAGATTTTTTTGAGTGTTTCAGATATCTAAAACTCTGATCTTTAATGATTTTTTAAAATGCGGTATTATAGGTAACCATGTATGTATTAGTATTGCATTAAGGCCAGATTTTTGCTATCTGGTAGAATTCTAGCTCTGAGTCAGAAGTAGCGAGTCTTAGGCGGTTTGTAGGATGAAACCTTATTTGTAAGATCTTTGAAATGTGCATCTGTCTCTTATAAAGGATGATGCATGGACTCCAAGGTCTCAGAGGAGTAGCCATGTTAGTCTGGTGGTTTTTTTTTGTTTTTGTTCTCCCCCTCCCCCCCCTCTCATTACAACGGTCCTGTAGCACATTAGGCTAAACAAATATATAAATAGTATCATGAGCTTTTGTGTGCACAACCCACTTCAGCCAAGAGTAGTGTTAATTTTTCTTTTTATTTGATTTCATATTAAATAACATAGGCATTGCTCCTTGGTGATTATCCCTTGTTTTAATATATTTTCTTCCGCAACTATGGACTATTGTTTATACTGGTGGGTGCACATCCACACACTGCCTCACTTGCACATAAGAAAATTCAACCTGCCCAAGGATAGAAAATCTTACAGGGAACACTGACCATGACCATGTTCAGCGGGTTAGGCCTCTTATTTACCTTCAGAAGTCTACCCTATCACCCATGCAGAGCCTAGAGTTTGTAAGGGCACGTTTGGACTTGCTGGCAGCCAAGGCATCCCTCCCTCAACCCTGTGTTGCGCATGTGCAAACTATTTCAAGGTCTGGGGGCCCATCCTGTTGGGATGGCCAGGATTTGCCAACAGGTGTTGAGCATATGGCTTCTTGCACCTGCGTCATTCCCTTCGCCAAGCTTTGAGTCCATCCACTACCGGTGTGGCTAGCCAGCATGTACAAGCAGTCTTAACATTCTCCCCAGAAGGTGCCAGGTGTCCTGCCATTGGTGATAGATATCCTTCAGTGGTGGCTGGACCCTCTGAACCTATGCTGGAGATTGTTTTACTTTTTGGCTCTCACTGACTTTAGTAACCGATGCCTCAGACTTGGGATGGGTGCGCATTTGGGCAGACTCGTGGCATCTGGTCATGGGCAGAATGTGCAGTGTACATCAATGTAAAAGAGCTCAGGGCAGTGAGGTTGGCCTGTGTGGCCTTTTTGGAAAGTGTCTCAGTTCACACAGACACCACCACAGCGATGTTTTGTCAACAGACAGGTGGTGCTCACTCTGCTCCCTTGTGCAAGGAGGCAATGTCGCTGTGGGAGTTGTGCATCTTATTGTGCAAACACTTGTTGGTCTCTTACTTGCCAGTGAGTTCTGAGATCTTGGCAGACAACCTCAGCCGCTTGTTCCAAACTCACAAGTGGGCTCTGAGATGGGAGGTAGTGCAGTGCCTTTTCCAGAGGTGGGGTCGTCCCCATTTGGACCTCTTTGCCATGAGAGGGGAACAGAAAGTTCCGAGCCTTCTGTTCTTACCTGGGCAGCAGCAAGGGCTCCCTAGAACAGGGTTTCTCAACCTTTTTTTTATTAAGTACCCTTTTAAAAAAAAAAGTACCTACAGTTTTCAGACACATTTTTTACTACCATTGCAACACATTTGTTTAAACAACTTAATCGTAGCCAGGTGGGCGATGAAATTTTTGGGTGTGTAAAGTACAAAAATAATAAAATGCTGTAAAACTTAAAACAAAATTCAGTTTTCTCCAAATTTCTGTTGTTGATGTACCATCCCCTTCCGCCTCCAGACTACTCTAGAGTACCCCAGGGTACTTGTACCACTGGTTAAGAAATACTGCCCTAGAAGATGCCTTCCAAATTCACTGGGGAAGGGGTCTCCTACATGCATTTCCTCCTCTTCCCCTTCGTTCACAGGGTGCTAGCGCCACTTTGGGGTCCCCTCTGCCGACTTATGGTATCCTGGTAGGATAAAATCATCCTGGCAACTGCACATGCTGTACGCACACGTGTAATTTCGAATGCACATGAGCAATATGTCTCAAAGAATACCAGTTATGAAGGGTAACTGTCTTCTTCTGTGTACCACAGGAGCTCTAGATTAAATTACAGATTTTAAGGAACTGATTGATTGTTGTGGGGTTTTTTGGTTTTTTGTTTTAAACTGTATAAACTGTGGTCTGAATTGTAAAGTTATGAAAGTAAACTAACAATTCTCAATGGCAATACAACAGTTAAAACTAGTACCAGAATAGGTTTTCAGTCTGTGTCCTTTAGCTTTTTGTAAATATTCTGACTTGGTTAAATATTGGCTCTCTTATTTGTTTAGCTAATTAAATGTTGTTTGTAGTCCCCTGTTATTGTTAGATCTCAAGGACAACAGCAGCAGGAAAAGAAACAATTTGACCTCCTCAGTGACCTTGGCTCAGACATCTTTGCTGCTCCTGCTCCTCAGTCAACTGCTACAGCAAATTTTGCTAACTTTGCACATTTCAACAGTCATACAGGTAAGAGGTGTTTTTTTTGTAGACCCTCTCTCCTAATCAAATACATAGAGACCTTAAGGGTTACTTTCTTGATGGCTCTGAATAATAAAAGGAGTGACTCTTTCTGTGCCTGGAACATAGTTATATCAGTTCAGATTTAGCTTGCAGCAAGTTGGAAATAAACTTTAATAAAACAAGTATTTAAAATTTTACAACTTCTAATTCCTGCAAAGAGTTAGTGCAATTAGAAATGGGTCTCTCAAATATTGATATGAAACTGACACAAATTGAGTTTGGTCACTTTTTGTCACTCTACTTTTATTTCCTTGGGTTGCTTGTTTATAAAGAGAATTTTGGCTAAAAGGAGGAAGCAGGATTGTTACTGGCAAGAAGAAAAGGTGAGTAAAGTAGTGGGGATTGGCAGACTGTGCAAGATAATATCGTTGCTTCCCTGTGAAAGTTGGCAAGATACTTTTATGGAGAAGGAATGAAAAACTGTCAAGAGACAGCTGGTATGGAAGTCAGTGAGGGGGAAGAAGCAATGCTGCCTCAGAATATAACAGAACTGAAGGAAGAGAGAACGAACTTTGTAGTGGAGGAAGTTTATATGGCTGGGATTCAGTAGCATGGGAGCAGAGACAAAACAGTTACTGAATATAAACCAGGGCTCGGTGTGGTGCAACAGACTTGTAAATGTTTGTAGAATCACTGTTTTTAAACATCCCTGAATATTATGGGAGTGAGGGGAGAACTTCAATCCATACAACTTCACCCTAAAGAAAAATGACCACAAAGTTGATTCTGAACGCCAATATTTGTCAGCAGCCTATAGCTATTGCTAGTGTGGTGCCCACAGTCACATAGGTTAGTGGTAAGTGCCTATCCTTTGTAATTGCTTAGCTTATGAACTCTTCAGAGTGGGTAATTTTTACTAAAATGTTTACTATTTGGTATAGTGGAGCCCCTGTCCTAGTGGTTGTCTCTGGTTTCTACTGTAATATTGCTAATACTGAAGAGAAGTGCTACTAGTGAAAAATCTGTGGCGGTCTGAAGTTAGGGTTGCCAGGTGTCTAGTTTCGAGGCGGACAGTCCAGTATTTGAGCTTTCTGTTTGGGGAAACAAATCGAGAAAATATAAATGTCTGGTACTTTCTAAATAAGATGTAATGTAGATTGTGATGTAATGTCAAGTGTGTCTTATATTTTTGTTGAAACCATCTGGCAACCCTATCTGAAGTTGTCATGCTTTATATGAAATTACAAAGCTAAAATCATTGGTACACACTTCTGGTGAGCTGAGTAAGAGATTTGGGTCACCAGTTTAAATAAAAAGTTTATAATGTTTTGGGTTTTTTCCCCCAGATATTGTATTTTAAAGAGAATGTGAGACCAGTTGAATTCAGTAGACTTTAAACATGAATAGTTTTAGCATATTTCATGAAATGAGAGGCTCATATGAATTAGTTTCTTGGAATGTAGTTAATTTGGTATGATTGAACCATTACCTATTTTAATCTGAAAATTTACATGCTGATGGTTTTCTGTGATGGTGGCCAAAATTTTACTCCAAAGGTGTCTTAAGTCTTTCCTATAAAGATCCAGCATAAATACACTACATAGGTACTAGATTACTCTCACTTTTTTGGCAAGACCTGTAAGCCTCTTTTTTAGATATTTTGTGCTTGATAAATCTAAATGCATAAACCACGATCAGTTATCTCTGTTCAAGACTATCTTACTGTCCCCTATAGGATAGGACATGTATAAAGGATTTTATATATATGAGTCAAGAGCAGGGGTGGGCAATAATTTTTGCCCGGGGGCTACTTCAGAAATTTTTAAAGTAGCCCCGGGCCACCCTGGAAGGGTTATCTAGGGGTGGGGGAGCCCCTTTGCCCCCCTTCCCACTAGGCACCCATGCCCTGGAAGAGGCTTGGCACACTCACCCACCCCTAGGCCAATCAGGACTTGGGGGCGGGGGAGCATGGGAAGCCTTCTCCCACCCTGTGAGGAGCCCATGGCACAGGCTCCTTGAAGGGCTGGGGCAGGGCAAAGGAGGCTTCACACAGCTCCCCCGCCCCCAGGCCCTGATTGGCATGGGGCTGGGGAGCGTGTGAAGCCTTCTCTGCTCTCCCCACCGCCCCGCAAACAGCACATGGTGCTTCAAAGCCTCATGTACTCCTGGCACGTAGGCCTGGGGGCGGAGGAGCATGCAAAGGTGCCTTCGCTCTGCCCCTGCCCTGTTCGCAGGGGCAGAATGGAGAGGGGCGGGGGAGCAGCAGAGCCTTGGCGGGCTGGATTCACCCACTTTTGCCCACCCCTGGTCAAGAGGGAAGACTAACCTTTTTCAACGAAACCAGCTACTTTTGAGATTGAAACCATTGCTTTAAGTTGTGATGAATACTTGGAACATATCTCACTAGTATCCTTTTCTGCAGTAAGGTGCTCTTGCTCCTCTTATGTAGTGAATTTGGGGAAAACAAACCCAATTCAGAGCCTTCAGCTTGATCTGGACTAGTACTTTTTACATCTTACAGACACATTAAATTGCTTACATCAAGTGGCAAACTTTAGATCACCAAGCCAGTTTCTGTACAGTGCAAAATACCTGTTTACCTGGTTTGTAAGCACCATATTTTATAAGGGCATTTCATGTGTAGTAAACATTTCCAGTGATCCAGCTCATGAGTCACAACAAGGCTGAAGCCCTTTTCTTTTCCTATCAACATCCTAGTGCCATTCCTCCCCTCCCCCATCCCCACGCTCCCATGAACCTGTGTTCAGTATTCAAGTTTCTAATCAGGTCTATGCTTTGCCCTATGAAGCTGGTTCTGATGTTACAGATTTGTCTTCATGGACCAAAGGAATGAATTGTTCAACTCATGTACACCTATCATAGCAAACTCTTAAAAGGTCTAAAATAGAATTGGAATTGCACACAAGATGGACATGAACCTCTTACAAGAAGAACATAGGATTGTTACAGTAGTTTTTTCTGTAGTTGTGTATTGGTGGTGGTCCATGATGCCTATTTTAGTAATGTGGTGGTTCTGCCTCCTCTACAGCTCCTCCTACTGGAAACTGAATATTTTTTTGCCACTTATAGAAACTGCAGCTGAGAGGCAGCAAGAATAGCCTTGGTTTTATAAGCTTTTGCAGCCACAAGAGGATGGGGGCATTTAGTAGCCAGCAAGAAAAACTGTGTTGGGTATTTCTGCATTGGTTGAGTAGAATGTGGAGAGAGCGAGAGCACTCTATGGGCGGTTGAGTGCCTGTTGCTGTACTTGGGTACTGCCTGCTAACTACACAAGAGTGCAGCTTCTGATGTGCTTTTGTAGCTCCTTACATGCCAAGTAGTATGTAGGAACTTGGGCAGAAGGGCTTGGGAGAAGAGAGGTGGGGAAAAGGAAACAAAGTGATGCATTGGAGATATGAATTGGGGAAGGGAAAACCATTTTAGTTTCCTATCTTCAGTATTCTGAACTACAAATCTACTTAAGTTTCTTCAAGTGATTGCACTTTTCCATTCCACTCCTGGTGTCTGCACCCAGGGCATGTTCATCAATTTTTTTTTTCCTGGGCTTGATTAGTAGTTAGTGCCATTTCTATAGTACTCTATAAGAGCTGCTCCAGCTCCTACTGGTTAAAGTTGGATATCCCTACTTGCAAGTAGTCTTAAAGTATAGCACTCCCTAAAATAGATCTTAACAGTTCAATATGGAAATCCTAGAAATAGTTAACTCTGGCAAGAACCTTGTGTGAGGAGTAATTGAATTCCAGTTGCAATTGGGAATGCATAAATATCCTAAATTGAGAGCTTCTTACCCCCATTTGGTAAGAGGAACTTTTCTAGAGGGCAAGCAGCATGTATAGCGTTAGCTAAGATGCCTTAACAAAGCAGACACAAGAGGAACTTTTCTAGAGGGCAAGCAGCATGTATAGCGTTATCTAAGATGCCTTAACAAAGCAAAATGCAGGACAATGTAGCACTTTAAAGACTAACAAGATGGTTTATTAGATGATGAGCTTTCGTGGGCCAGACCCACTTCCTCAGATCAAATAGTGGAAGAAAGTAGTCACAACCATATATACCAAAGGATACAATTTAAAAAAATGAACAAATATGAAAAGGACAAATCACATTGCAGAACAGAAGGAGGATGCGGGGGGGTGGGAAGGGGGAGGAAGGAAGGTAAGTGTCAAAACAAAGCAGACATCATACTAATTGTATTGATTTGAACCTGAGTCTGTTTCCTTTCATCATAACTTCCATCTTAGCCAGGCACTGATAAAAACAAAGCTTTTGCACAATCTGGAGATGAAGTCTGTAGCTGTGTATGTCTGATGGAAATAATTAATGTGATTTTATCTATATGCAATTCCCCCATAAAGTAGTTCTGCTTTGAACAAATGTGATAGCTTCACAGCTGAACTTGACAAAGTATGCCTTTCTTTCACTATGCAGTGATGGTGTAGCCATATCAGTCCTCGGATAATAGTGACACAAGGCACATGAGGCCATATAGTTTGATCAGACTAACTTCTGTCTCACTCCTCAACAAAAGTTGGACCAACATTCTCACTTGTATTGTTCCTTTTACTTGACAACTCAGACCTTGTGTCATGGGTAGCTATATAGGTGGCTTTAAATAAAGCAAACCTCCTGAAGGGGGTATTTTGGCATTGTCCTGACTAGTAGTGTTTAATATATATGAAGCTTTCTTTTTACATACAACTTCACTTTCTAAATATGCAGTCTAGATGTTTGTTACACAATTCTTATACTTTGTAAGAGAACTTTGTTTTCATAGCTGGAATTGTCAGAACAACTATACTTTAGGCATCAGCATTTCTGTTGTAGCTTCTTTTTTTTTCCTGGGGTTTATGAAAACTTGCTCTGGCAAATTGAAAGCACTGATCTGATAATACCACAGTATCTCCAGAGAACCCATTCCCATCTGGTATACCAGCAGAAATTCATGTACTGAGACTTTTAGATCAACTTAGTCATTTTAAAATAGACTCATGTGTTGGGATTCCCCTCTGGTCATTATTACTTGTACATTGTTGAGTGTAAATAGTGGCTAGAATTTTCAAAGGGTCAATAAGTAGGTTACTCAGTTCATATTAATTTTCAGTGGGAATTGAGCACCTGACTCCTCAGCCATGGTCTTATGACATGAAGGGAATGCTTGAGGGCAATGGGTGCCTTAATTCTAAATTTCCTTCTTTTTTAGGTTCACTCTGTGCTCATAATGTTGATTGGTGTGCAGTTTTTGTTGTCCAATATTCTCAATATCTGGATGTGGGGGCAAAAAAGCCAAATCAACATAAATGCTGTTTTGCAAAAGAAGGCATCTTACATTTTTGTTTGTTTTAAATTGCTTAGTTTGGCTTCATGTTCTATAATGTGATTTTTTTTTTTGTTTGGTTTTAAATTTGACAGGGTGGGTGACTAAATAGTGATGATTAAATTCTCTAACAGTGTTGTAGTTCATATATCAACACATGACATTTTAAATGCTGTAAAAATACGTCCTCGGAGTGAACATATTTCACATTTCCAAGCAAGACTTACAGGAGTCAAGTAGCCTACCAAGTACATTGGCATTTCACTAGAAAATGGTTTGGAAAAGTGAAACTTTGTGTGTGGGTGTTGGCTTTTACTAATTACAAATTTGATCTTCCAAGCTTTCTGTGCTAGTATTGTTTAAGATGAATCTGATACTGTATGTCTACATTGCAGTAGAAAGTGTGATTGCAGTACTGACTAGGCATGCCCATTCTAGATTTAACCTAGCTTTTGTAGACTATCTAAAAATAGCAGTGAAGCTGCCTAGTATTGGTTTTGCTCAAACTTGACAAGTATCCCCGGCCTGTGCTGCTACAACTTCACTGCTAGCTATGCCTGCTAGATTAAAGCTAACATGGGTATGTCGCCATTAGCTGCAGTTATACTTTACTAAAGAATGTGATGCTTCATTTATAAAAAGAGAGGTTGTGCTTGAGGCGGGACATAACAGTGACCAACATAGCCATAATTTACTTCAGTTAATACATATGTTTTTGTTTGTCATACCCATTAACATGTTTTGTTCCTTTACAATTTACAGCGCAGAACTCTGCAAATGCAGGTTTTGCAAACTTTGATGCATTTGGACAGTCTAGTGGTTCGAGTAATTTTGGAGGTTTCCCCACAGCAAGTCAGTCTCCTTTTCAGCCCCAAAATACAGGTAGACTACTACTAGCATTTCTGATTAATCTTTAATTCAAAGTAATCCAGACATAAAAGTTAAAAAGTACCTCAGTTCAATTCACTTCCTGCACCTGCCTGCTTTAACACAATCATAATCTGAAGCTCTGGGGAAACTCAAAATGAATGCCTTTTTCTCTTTGGTTGTTCGGTGTGTTTTTGTTTTGTGTTACTTTTTATTTTTCTTGGCTTTTTTTGGGAAGTCTCTTAATTTGTGACATGGTAATTTATTAGCCCTACACATGAAATATCTGTAGGCTTCCTGAATAGAACTATATTGATACTACTGAATATCAGATCACATTTATCTGTGGCTTGTATCTTCCAAGAGAACATTTCATTAAAGTTCAATAATGCAGACCAGACTGGTGCAAGTATTGAATGTATTTACCATACAAATGCACGTTAGCTACTCAGAATATTTCATGTGTAGGATCTATTGCTAAATTCTTATTTTGCTTTTCTTGTTAATTTGGTCACACTTAACTAACTTGGACTCTCAGTTGCTGTTTGTCTATTTCTTTGGATGATTTCTTTTCCTCTTTTCCTTTTTAAATGTGGTGTCGTTTAAACTTTTTTTTAATTTTTCTCCCTCCTTATGTTAACTGTAATCCCTCTCTCACAATTTCTGGCTGTCCAGCGTTCAGAACGCTTTCATCTAGCTGCAGTTTTGGGGAATTTACTTCAGCTTTCCCTCTCCAGGCTGTACACAGTAAGTTCCATTGACTAGGAAACTTAGCTTGTTTTGTTTTTGTAATTGTGTGTTTGATTTAGTTCCAGCCTTTAAATATATTTTCACCAGTCCGACTTTTTTGCTTATGTCTGTGCTTGCATTTAAACATATCAAATTGCTGATGGTGTATTAATAGTTAATACGTGCTGAGCTCTCCTCCAAGTGTGCATGCATGTACACATACACTTTTTTCTATTCATCTTAAATCTAATTTGATTTGTACATATTAACAAAACCCTCTGTCCACAGAGAAGATTTGGAAGCTCATAAATTAAATATACCTTTTTAGAGACTTAAACATAAAATTTGTTGCACACATTTAAAAACCTGGAGCTTTCAAACTGACTGCTATATTACAGATCATAGTGTAAGTTCTAATATATGTTTAATTTATTTTAGCATATTTAATGCTGGGGGGGGGGGGGATTTCCTTGGAAGAAGGGCTCTCTGATCCCTTTTCTTTTCCTTTATCTCCCCTCCTCAAGGCTGTATTGTCTGAGTGCAGCCATGACATAAGGGGGAGGAAGGAGAAAGGACTGAATGAGTCTCTCTGAACCTTGGACTGGTATCCTGTTGTGCTACCTCTGGACTTTCAGGCTAACCTTTTTTTGCCTGCAGTGGTTACTGAAATGGTCAAGCATATTACACTGTTGAGGAAAATAAAGCAACTTCTATGTACTTTGCTGGATTGTTACAGCAGGAAAATTTGAGTTGCTGTATTTTGGATTTATAAAATTAAAGCTATTTTTTTCTAGCTAAATATTAGTGGTGTTCGAGTTAACTTGACAGTGTTACACTGAAACAGTTTTGCAAGAGCTGATTATGGTGTCTGCAAACTATTGAAGTTTCAGTGTTTGCTTCAGATTTAGAAGTTCATAGAGATAAATGTGCTCATTCTGATCATTCACAATTAATTTTGAGTGTGAGAGGGGTTTTAGCTAGTCTGTGGGATAAAAACCAAAAGTGGTGTTACTTTCTGGTGTAACCACCAAGAGGTGGGATGATATTGCCACCAAGAGAATTTGGAGAGACTTTCCTATACCTTTAAAGTATCCATGTTTAACTTATTTTGTTACAGGTGGAAGTGCTGGATCAGTGAATGCTAATTTTGCTCACTTTGATAACTTCCCCAAATCCTCCAGTGCTGATTTTGGAGCCTTCAATGCTTCTCAGAGCAACACAACAGCAACTGCTGCCAGTAAAGTTGCAGTGAATAAACAGAATCTCCAGTCAGCAGACAAATATGCAGCTCTTGCTAATTTAGATAATATCTTCAGCACAGGGCAAGGTATTAAGTTTTTTTTCTTTGACTTGTTCTACTTTTTTATTCCTTAGGAGGATGGCTGTGGCTGTCAAGAATGATAGCCAACTATATTAAGCATGCTTTTAAATGGTCTATTCTAATTAACTTAACAAGTGCACATTTTAAACTTCTGTATTGCTGTGCTGCTTCTTGTAACAAAGCAAATGCTTTAATCTATGCAGTCATTTGCAAAATAGCACTTATCAAAAAGCTCATGGTTTTTTGAGATCCTGCAAAAGGTTTTTTCATGTTGTCAACAAAATTATTTCCTAGTGATGAGTATTCTAATATACAGAAACCCGAATATTGTACTACTGCTGAAGTGTGGAACTTCATATATTTAATCACACCAGCTGTGGTCTAAAGTAAAAGTTGTCTTTGCAATCAAATGGGTTAGCTTCATGTACACACTAATCATATATTGAACAAGAGTGAAACATGAATTTCGTTGTCACTTAAGTTTGATTTAGTCCAGCATACTATAAGGGCAAGTTTAAGTCATGTATATCAGTTCTTAAGCAAAACTGATACAGTATATGACTTTGTACAACTTTAAGGGAAAGAATATTAACAGTCTTGAAGAGGGCCGTGGGCGACTGACTCTCTGACCAGATCTATACTGCAATAAATTTAAGATATGCAACTCTACCTACGAGAATTGAGTAGCTGGAGTGGATGTAGTTTGAATCTAATTTTCTCCATCCTCACCACTGCAGGAAGTTGATGGGAGAAACATTCCTGTCAGCTTCCCTTACTACTTGCAGCCTCGTGGAGTACCAGGGTCAATGGGGATGCCATCAGAGTTTGATTTAGCGAGTCCTTGCTAGACTTGCAAAATTGAACCCCAGAAGATCGATCTCTGGAGCATTGATTTTTTTTTCCCCCCTTCTCCCCATAAGTGTAGAATAATGGCTCATCCTGAGGCTTGTCTAAGTGCGACGTCAATACTGGCTGCTCCATAACTAAGTCTGCAGTGAATTTTGTTTTTAAAGATGAAATTTGAACCTATTCTAACAAACATTGCTGTTATATCTGTGTTCAACACAAATACAGAACAGATCTATTAGGTGCACAGTCAAGAGTCGCTCAGTATTTGTATCGCCATTGACCTGGCAATGTTTATGAAAGGAGATGTTAAATGCCCTACTTTTAACCACAAGTTGTCCAATTTTTTGATTGCTCCTGCATGTTTTGGTGCATGCTTGCTAGATTGTTTCACTGAACTAATATCTTATTTAAGGGTATCATGAGGTGACTTACTACCCCTGTTCTTACAGTGTACCTGCATAAAATCCTTAAGTTACTCTCCTTTGTCAACTGTTTTGGTTCATATTCTTCCATATTCCAAAAAATAGGTGGTATTACTCAGTGCAGCTCTATGCTGTTACACGCTTAAAGTTTGAGTCCTTTAGACTTCTTGGTTTCAAAATGCCATGCACTGGTGCTTATAAAATAATCTCTGGAATCTTTATCTCAGTGGAAATCTGCTGAGAAAAGGTATCCTTGGAAACAAGGAGATTCTGTAAGGTTGTCGATGGTTTCATTTTTTTTAAAACTAATGCTCTGGATCTGTATCATGTAGCATTTTTTTCAAGGTTTGAAGTTTTGTTACCCTATTAGGGCATCAAAGAAAATTAGCCACCAGTTGGAAGATATGGCATGGCATATGACACATTCTGCATGGCTCATGAATTCAGTGTTTAGTGGAAATACCATATAGAAGGCTTGGGAATACTTCCCAGCATATGGCCTTTGGGCTGAAGGCCCTGGGAGTGTGGGTTTCTGTATGATGATATTTTTGAGATAATAGTTAAGTAAGAGTAAGTCTATCATTGTAACTTGAATTGTTATGCTGCATTGCTTTCTAAATGTGTGTAAACTTGTTTCCATCTAAATTTTCAAAGCTCTATTTTAAAGATGTCACACTACATACTAAGGTTTCAAATGAATTTGTCTTTTTCACTGAAGCAAGAGTATTTGACTTAATAATACAATCGGTGGAAAATAGGAGGCTGCTTTTAGAATTATAGACCTGTTGAAGCATGGTACTGTGTGCTTATAAAAATAGAGATTTGGGAAGCAATAGTTGAGCCCTGTATTAGTGCTGCATTTAAATCTTATTTAATTATCTTAAATGATGTGAGAATAATTAAAACATTTCTTTGAGTGTGGAAAAGATTATAGGAAAAACATATTTTAGAAGTGTCCTTTTAAACTTCAATATGGTGTCTTCTTTTCTAGGTGGTAGTGAGCAAGGAGGTGGCTTCGGCTCTGTAGTTACAGCACCGTCAGGTCCTGCTGTGTCAGCCCCAAGTCAGCCAAGTGCATCTTCAGACAAGTATGCAGCTCTAGCAGAATTAGACAGTGTGTTCAGCTCCACAGCAACCTCTAGTAATGCATATACTTCCACCAGTAATGTTAGCAGGTACTTTTTCTTGTTAGAAGTTAAGTAATTAGCTCTAAGACAGCTGTATATATAGGCAGAAAAATAGTCCAATGGAAGCATTAATAAAGTTGTTTTTTTAATCTGCTTGTATTTAGCTGTTCTTCTTTGTTGTAGGTAATTTAAAAATTGTAGGGAATTAATTCTGGAGAGGAGTTAGTTGTCTACAAGTGTCCTTACTAAACCTGCATCTTTTCTTAACATAGTTATGGTGGTACTGCCCGCTAGAGGTTGTAAAATTAAATTGAAACAAGTGTTCATCAGTGAAACACTTTTACACCTTCCCAGTCAGCACACACTAAATTCTGTTGGAGGATAATAATCCTCCATATGGATTACTTGCATGCTTTTTTAAATGTATTGCCTTAAACAGTTAAGATTGGTTTTGAATAGTGGGATATCTGCAATGTACAGGTCTTTCTTTTTTAAAAGTAAGTAATTAAAAGCAAGCACCTGTAGGAACTTTGCTTGGAAATATAAATTTCCCTGTGGCTTTTGCTTGGCAGCTTATGCCTATTTCTTTTTTTTTCTCATTGTCCTTACTCCTCCATTGGCAGGCAGGATTTCCCATTGCTCAGCGCTAATGTATTTAGCCTTTGACACTGGCATCAGGAATTCAACTCCTGGAACAAATGGATTATATAGGATTTTCAAATCTGTACATAAATATCCTTTTCTATTTGGCTTTAATGTGCCAATATTAATGGTAGATGTTTGTTGAATGAGCAACTCTAACTTTACTGAATGTGAATTATTTTCAGCAGTGCTTTTGGAACAGTACCAGTGGCTGCTACTGCACAGACACAGCCTGCATCTTCAAGTGTGCCTGCTCCATTTGGAGGTATAGTAAATGTTACTAATGTTCATGCAGAGTATAAGCAAATGTATTGCTGAATTTTAGTTCAGTATCCTATTTGTATGATACTAAAGATTTCACTGTCATTAGACTAAATAAACTGCCAGTGCAATCAGTATTATACAAGTCTAAAATATTAGCATGTTTAAAAAACCTCTGTAGTACCCAACAAAGAAAAGGTACTTAAACCTTACGTAAAGTTATTTCTGACTATATTTGACTTTGCAAAGGATCTGTAGAACAAATGTAAATCAGTATAACCCTGTGTAAAGGTTTTTTTTTAAAATTAATTGTTCTTAATCTTTCAGCAACAACTTCTACAAACCCATTTGTGGCAGGCCCTGTTGCTCCAGTAGCACCTTCAACAAACCCATTCCAGACCAACAGCCGAGGAGCAACAGGTTAGAAAAACATCAAACTGTACAATGCAGTTTTATGCTATGCAATAGCATACATTTTTAATTTCAAAGCTTTCGAAGTAGTGTCAACTTTATAGGAAGTGACTGAAAATAGGTCATGCGCAAATAAACATAAAATTCTGCACTTTTTTTAAAGCAACAGAACATAATAGTTAAATGAGATCACTAGATATAGCAAAATTGTCCCTCTTTGATGTTGCAAAACATTCCCAAGGCTCTTGGCAGCTCGCCTAGTGAGGAACCTGGAAAGCTGCCTTTGTTCCACGGACCCTGGAAGCCATTGGTACTAGAACTTTCAAGAGCTTTGAACATGACTTCTGTCTCCAGACTCCCCACCAGATGGGCTGCCAAGGAGCCTGGCAGAAAACCAGACTAGGCAGGTTTTATAAAATGTTCAGCTTCCATCTATATTGTTGTCATGTTCTCATGGAGCGTTCAATGATTTGCCATTTTCTGATGTAAGATTTTTTTTCTGCTGGAAACTTTTTCCATCAGCTCTAATAATCCTATTCTGTCTCTAAATTCCCTTTTCAATTTCAATTGACTACAGCATTGACCTGCTGTGTACAACTTGTAGCAGTTATATGCTAGATGTGATTACACTACAGCGTTGGCTGTAACAGTTTTTGTATATACTTTGGAAAGCACTTTGGGGTACTCGGGTATGAAATACAGTATCTATAGGGCCCCTTAATTGTAGTTCTCTGTGGACTATAAATTCTGTTAGTCACAGTAACTCTTATAATTGTACTAAACTATCCACTGTGAAAGGCAGAGTGGGATTGAGATAAGAATACTTGTTGAATATTTAAGTATTTGAAACAGTTAACTGACATGTGCACTGTCACTGTGAGAACTTATAACCTGTTTAAATGAATGGAGCCATTCTTGCTATTACCGTTCTCTGCACCCTCAAAGACAAACCCCACACCCATTCATATTTTTAGGTTTTTCCTTTTTTGCAATTAGGATGAGAAATCCTTTTTAAATGCTATCTTAAAAATATGAGGCAAAAGGTGAAATCTGGAGAAGCCATTGTAAAATGGTTAGTTGATTAATTGAAAAATCAGATTACTGTTCCTCCTTCCAAAACAATGCTCTTGGATTTAGACACTACTTAGTAGCATTATATTTTATTCCATCTCTACAATGCTGAATCTTAGGATTGGTCCCATGTGGCAACTTGGACTATTCTGCCATTTAATATACTATTCATTTAAAAGTTTTGATATGCAACCAAAACTATCTCCTTTATTTATTTAATTTCATCCCAGTATTAAGATCTGGACCACTTTGGACTGTCTTCAGAAATTTGTCACTATTTTGTATCCATAAAAACTTATAGCCTTTAAAGAGTTTGTTGGACTTCACTGCCCAGTAGAGGCATTCTGAAGTTACCTCGGATATGCCTTCATTGACTGCAGTTAGAACTGTGCAGGTATGAGATGCACTGTGTGCCAAAGTGCTGAATGGATGCTGTAGATGTGACCTAGAAGACTCCTAGTTTACATTTAATGTAATCCCCTTCAGACAGGGTTCCATTGATGTGAAGTAGGAAGTTTTTTAGTTTACTTCCACATGAGTTAGGTTGTAGCGCTTTGAGTGCGCTGCTATTCACTCCTCATTAGGCTGAACTGTAGGGCAGTGTAGGCAAGCCCCAAGTATGAAGATGGTTTTTCAGGTTAACCCTTTAAAACAAATTCTCCAACTTCTCTCCCCCATACTTCCAAAACATGCTATCCTTTGGAAAGTGTTTGGGCATCAACAAGTTAATACTGTCCTTGAGTTAAGTATCTGATACAGGAAATATTAATTACAGTATCCTCTCCTAAGTACCTTTCTGCAAACATGAATGTAATACAATGGCTTATAATTTAGCTTTATGCTATATCTGCATGCATGCAATAAACAATGGGTTTGGTATAAGCTTTAGAGTGCATATTAGGAACAAAAATTAGACATTTGACTTTGAAATTATGCTAACATCTATAATTTACTTCTTGATCTATAGCACATTTGATAAAGCTAAAGATGTTAGAAAAAATTAAAACAGCTAATTAATCACTTGACTTTTTGTTATGTAAAATAGTTGTATAAGATGACTGTTCAATATATAATTCATTTGACATTGTTTGGTCTTTTTGTGGCTTTCCATAAGGCCTCTCAGGAGCAATGCACTCTCACATATTTCCTCACGCTCATTTTGGTAGGTGGCCACATTTGGCATCTGAGTTTCGTGTGGCTAATTGTTTAGTTGCTTGTGAAAGCTTATTGCCAGCTTCCTGATTCTCTGCATGTAAAATTTGAGTAGGCTGTTTTTTCCATATTTTAAAATGGAGTGGGCATGGATGTGTGGCACTCAAAAAAATAAATAAAAATTGACTTTTGCATAACGCACATAAAAAATTATACCAAGACACAGCCATTATCACTTGCCTCCATGGTCACGTCAGTAGATGCTTATAACCTTGTTTAAGTTAATTCTTTGAAGCTTGTTTGTAGCAAGTTTGACGTTTTTTGGATATTCCCAAACCATTGGACAATTTATCACAATGTGTTTTGGGTTTGCTGTTTTATCAAGCTATTACATAGCTGTGCAGTATTAAATATCCTCTGCTATTAATGGTAAATTGTGAAAGTAACGTCAATGCATTCTTTGTATGTACTGTGTCAATTATTTGTTTAGTTTGTATCCCTTGCTACTTGTCTTAAATTTAAGTAACCATTAAAAGGAGTTTGTATGTGAGTGTACACACACAAACCTCATTCCTTTCCTGACTATAGTTTACCTTTTAGTTAGTTAAGTGAGATTTAGAATTAAATTTGTGCAAGTTTTATGCCAAAGAAAGCTAAATTGAAATTTGAAACACTTTAAAAGAATGATGAACAAGAGCAAACATGCGGCAGAAAAGCCTGACATTTATGTTTATGCCAAAATGTCTTCTGTGCGCTGCTCAATCCCAGTAAACACCAAAGGATGTAATGTTTTTGCTGCTAGTTTTTTGCATAACTGTGTTGCTGTTAGTTAGCATTTTTCAGATGACATGCCTGGGGCGTGTACATACTGCAGGTTTGTTCTCTGGACTGTTCGGTAACTGTCAGATGAGACTTAAATTTTTTTTTAAAAAGTATAACCTGAATTTTAAGCTAAGCAATCCGTGCTAGGAATTTTTTTGTATGAGTCTCAGTATGGTAATAAGTTATTTTTAAAACACTGAAGATTGATTGACTTTACAACTTTTATCTCATTGTTTATAATGGAAATCTGAAAGCTTTTTTTCAAAAGTAATGTTTTCTTCCACTGAATGTACACACTTTTTTTGATGTTGCCTGTAAGTACTGGTCTCCATATTAACTCTTTTACCAGAAATAGAGACAGTTTGGAAGCACTTGAGCAGAAGTAAAACATGGAAAAGAGTTCAATGGCTTTACAGACACCCACTATTCTACTCAATTTTTCTAAAGCTAAATTGCAATTTGCATATATTTTAGCAAATTTCTATTAAGCAAATTAATTCAGTGGCACAGGAAGTGGAGACTAACCTGCCCACTAGCAGTTGTGTGGGTATTGGGGAAACTATCTAGATTCTTAGTGTGGGATTGTAGTAAACTCTTAAGAAATTACTTTTAAATGTAAA